CATTAGTACGAAGCATTTTTAGTCCACTGCACAGTGGTCCAGAATGCAGATTTAGGTGTAATGATATGTTTTGAGCCTGAATCAGATACTTTAGACTAAAAGTCTCTGCTACAAAGTTGTTCCTTATAGTTAGGTACTCATTTTTATGACAATGAATTCTAGGGAGGTTCCTATTATCATTAAAATCAAAAACTAACTTTTTTGTTTGAATAAATTAAGGTATACATTCTTCGGCAAAGTTATATTTCAAGCAACTTTGTTGGAAATAACTTTTTTGTATCTCTTAAATTGGCTGATTTAGAGCTATTTTCTTGAATTGAGTTAGGGTGGCTCTTAAAAAGACAGTTTTTTTGCTCTATTTATCTTATTTCGAATTTCTCAGCAAAGGTGTCTTGAGATAACTTTTAGATCTTAAGAAGGCGCAAATTTTTACTGCACAAAGCTTGTCAATATCTTTCGCCGATCAAGAGTTATTGACGTTTTTATACTAAAAATATGCACTTTTCAAATGTTAATATCTCTGTTTGGGGCAAACAAATAAAATTTTTTTTTGCAGCATTTGAAAGGGCGTATGTTATTCTCAATAATATGAAAAAACTGGAGGTATGTTATTTTTTAAACTCGTATAAAATCAATTTGAATTTATTCATATTTTTTACTATATTTGAGTATATCTTTTTTATTAGAAGATATACAGGCAACAAGTTCAGCTATAAAACATTCGTTTTAAAGAGTTTTAAAAGTCTCTAGAAGATGACTTTCATTATAAATTTCAAATAAAAAAGTTGCGCCTTCTTAAGATCTAAAAGTTATCTCAAGACACCTTTGCTGAGAAATTAGAAATAAGATAAATAGAGCAAAAAACTGTTTTTTTAAGAGCCACCCTAACTCAATTCAAGAAAATAGCTCTTAATCGGCCAATTTAAGAGATACAAAAAAGTTATATTCAACAAAGTTGCTTGAAATTAGCTCAGCTATAACTTTGCCGAAGAATGTATACCTTAATTTATTCAAACAAAAAAGTTAGTTTTTGATTTTAATGATAATAAGAACCACCCTAGAATTCATTGCCATAAAAATGAGGGCCTAACTATAAGGAACAACTTTGTAGAAGAGATTTTTAGTCTAAAGTTTCAATTTCAGGCTCAAAACATATCATTCCACCTAAATCAGCATTCTGTACCACTGTGCACTGATACCAGCGCTCATTTCTGAAAAAACTTATAATTTATTCATTGCTTGCAAAAAGAATAGATGAATCAGGGCACATGTATCAGTATAAATCAAAATATAAAACTATATAGTGTGAAAAAAATCAACAAATTGAAAAATTTACTCGGAGTCGTATGTTTGCCAAAAGAATTATTTCGCGAAGTTCTCTTTGGTGCAATTCCGATTTGCAGAATCCTATTTTGCGGAATAAGGATAAAATTTCTGCAAGATAGGACATTACGCGAAATATGAAATTCTGCCAAATAATATTCCGCTTGATGAAATAGGTTACCCCGTAAATCGCTATTGAAATGCCACTGTCGTCAAACTATAGGGCGCCTTGATTATGTTGAGCCGACTCTTTCAATTAGTAATGGATGAAATGGTTTTGCAGAACATACATGTATACCACATTTTTTTTTGACCATGTCAAACAGTGGAATTTAAATTGAAGTTTAATTTAAAGGGTCTACTTCAGTACATACCGTGCACTGGTAGTGGCAGTGTCCATGATGTCTTATTGGCTAAGCATCGATTTCAGTGACAAGGATTCTTCGTTCACTGTGTTTCATGACTTTGACTATTCGGTCAGCGACAACTTCAACCCCAGTTACTGTTATGTTAAGTACTATCCACACACTTAGTTTTTTTTCTACCGAACTCGGCTGAGCAAATCTCGGCAGGCCATTACCACTTGTACCTGTACAACCTCTAGTGCTACATGCATTCCACAACCAAGTCACTGGTATCACATGTTGTTCAACATTGAATTTATGAAGTTCTTGTAAATGTAAGAAGATTAATTACAGATTATCGAAAAAAAATAATTAAAATTTGTTGCATAACATTTTTTTGAAACATTCACAAACCGGAAGCCACCATTTTGGATTCCAAAATTGCGTGAATCATCGATTTCCGGCCTCTACACGTCGTTCCCGTTCCAAAAATATCCATATCGTTGGCTATTTGACAGTTTTTCACAAAACTGGAAGCCGCCATATTGGATTCCAAAATGGCATGAATCATCAATTTCCGGCCTCTGTATGTCGTCTCGGTTCCAAAAATATTCATATTGTTGGCTCTTTGACAGTTTTTCACAAAACCGGAAGCCGCCATCTTGGAATTCAAAATGGCATGAATCATCGATTTCCGGCCATGCAAGAGTGGAAATGGCTGAATTCCAACACAAACCTGGTTAATTGTCTGGCTTTGTGGAAGCCAGCTGCTTTCAAGATGGTTAGGATTTACAAATGAGAGAAAATTCCATAATGGTGTGATCAAAGCATTCGGAAGGTCTTTACCTCCAGAAGAACTTTTTCATGAACGAATATGTTCTAGGTGATCATGACTTACAAGTACCGAATAAAATTCCATGCACACTGCTCAGTTATTTTGTTATGATGAATTTTGAAATAACACGGGTTTATCACACGGTTTTGTGAAACACATGGTCTTTTTTTACACGGTTTTTTGAAACAACGCGGTTTTTTTTACACGGTTTTTTGAAACAACGCGGTTTTTTTTACACGGTTTTCTTTTACGCGGTACGTATCCCCCGTATAAAAAAACACTTGAGTGTATAGTAATAACCAGATTTTATTTCAATAATTTGTGTGCAAAATAAATCCATTTTAAGATTGCACTCATATACCTCAACGCGCAAAATTTTCAAATCATCATCTCTTCATAGTTCTTCTATTCTCCAAGGGGGTGCAACTTTGATTTGCCAACCCATATCAAATTGTAATTGGGTTGTTTAACTTAAAAAAATATACCGATTTTTAAACATTATCTGGTAGAGCTATGTTTTCTGAGCACAACGATATTTTTATCGATTCCGTAGACATTCATTTCGATTTTTAAATCAAGATTTAAATTTTTGATCGTTGACACTAAATCTATTCGTTGACAGCTCGCTCCCATACAAAGTCCCGCCAAGGGCCCTAATAAAAATTGTATGGTTAATTTGCTTAACGACGTGTTCTGGGTATCATCCAAACCAATTTGTATCCTCAATCTCACCGTGTAAACAAAGCTCCTATAAAATGTAATTATGACGTTACAGCCACAAATTAAATCCTATACTAATACCATAGAGGTAACTCTAAGACTAGAAGCAACAATCAATACGAAACTAACGATTTTAAATTGGCTCACCACTTTAGTAGCCTATTGGTCCCAAGCAAACGGTTAACGTACCCTATTCTAGTTGAAATTCTATTACTACACTAAGTTTGTTTTGATTAGCTATGAAAGTTTGACAGATAACATCAGGGGTGTGTGGATTCATGCAGAACATGCAGGGGTGAGTGAAATAGCTTGGGACTGCTTGGGACCGTTGTTCTGGTACTGAGTGAGCCAAAAATAATAATGATCTTCTTTGGGACCCAGTGGTCTTAGAGTTACCTCTATGCTAGAAGGTCCCGAAGAAACGTGCTCAACTTTTTGGCTCAGCTCTGGTACTGCCTTCGGTCCCAAGCTAATCGATTCACCCCTCGAAACATAGGAAAATCCACTAACCCTTCATTTTATCTGTCAAAATTTCATAGCGAATCAAAACAAACATTGCGTAGTACTAGAATTTCAACTAGAATGGGGTACGTTAATCGTTTGCTTGGGACCAATAGGCTAGTCAAGTAGTGAGCCAATTTAAAATCGTTAGTTTCGTATTGATTGTTGCTAATACCCCGTTCACATTACAGCGTATATCACTTGATATAAGCTGTCTTGTAATGAGCACTCATGCATCTTGTTTTCACTGGAAATCCTATATATGAGTGTTCATTGCAAGACAGCCTATATTACGTGATATAGGCTGTAATGTGAACGGGGTATAAGAAAATTTCAAAGATTGTTTTATGTGTCCCACACATGATTTTTTGCAATGTGATAAACAAATTATATCTATGTGTCAGACACATACTATTCATTTCACACATAAATTTCATGTGTACTTCTGAGTGGATTCTGTTTATGAGTGGGCACATGAAAATCATGTGGAATTTCACATGGAAATTCGCCAATAAAAATATGTGGAATTTTTTGAGTGTACACGGAGATGAAAAACTACCCAAAATTCAGTACTTTTCCCTCAATTCACGGGTTCAAACCAATAACCCAAATTTGAGGAAATCGCATATAGCAGTTTTCATTTAACACTACAAATAAAAAATACTTACTCCTAAGTATATTCTACCCAACATTAAGTTTAACTCACGAACATTTGAGAATATGCAATTAAATCAAATGTAGCTTCTTGGGCTGAAATATATCGTTAGGTGCAAGTGAGTGGCTAAACTCAAAAGTAAGTAAAAAGAACTCCAAACTTCGGATAGTCTTTTTTCTCCGTGTACATGTTTTTCACGCACGGGCGATTTGAATTTGACAGCTGATTTTCGCGCTACTCCGACACACACATACAACCAAGCCACATCGCGATCAAATTTTTGAATAACGTTCGTTTCTTTGCCCGTCGGAGGAAAGGGATCTTTTCTTTTAAACGGTTCTCAAGCTTCATCGGATCGGGTCGTACCGTCTGTGCATGTCCTTTGACAAAGAAAGTTAGCTAGCAGTTAACCGTTGTGCTATTTGCCGGTTTGTGCCTTAATTTTATCGCTAAAAGCTGTATTGCTGTGACAGTTAAGTGTTTTAGTTGAAATCTGTTATTTTTCGGGTCTTTGTTCCTAAAACGGTAAGTACAACGGACAGGGGTTGCATTTGAGGTTATTCATTTTGGAAGGATATGGCACAATGGGTAAAATTTAACTCTATTATTCTTGATTCTTGCAGATCATGGATACGGAAAACGCTGGAGGCCAAAACAGTCGTTTGTCTTCTTACAAACATGGAGTCAAGAGTAATGCGGTAAGTTGGCATAAGATCGGAGGATTACTCGTGCTCAACGGTGCATTCCAAGTCATCTAATTGCTTTCTTTTTTGTCACATTGATAATTATTCACAGGAACTCCGCCAGCGTCGTCACGAGGTGACCGTTGAGCTCCGGAAGAACAAGAAAGAGGATCAGTTGTTTAAACGTCGCAACATCACTAACGAGGAGCCGACCATTTCCTCACCGCTGCAGGAAAGCAATGCCCAGAGTCCGATTGCGCTCAAATTTGAGGAAATTATCTGCCATGTCAACAGCGGAAATCCTCAGAAGGAGTTTATCGCCGTCCAAACAGCCAGAAAAATGCTTAGCCGGGAGAAGAATCCCCCTATTGATAAGATGATCGGACTTGGGCTGGTGCCGATTTGCGTAAAGTTCTTGGAGTGTTTCGATCGGGTCGATCTTCAGTTTGAAGCTGCATGGGCCCTCACGAACATTGCATCCGGAACGACCGAACAAACGAAAGCCGTGATCGATGCTGGTGCAGTTCCGAAGTTTATTGCCTTACTCAGTTCCCCCACGATCAATGTTGCCGAACAGGCCGTTTGGGCTCTGGGTAACATAGCCGGCGATGGCTCGAAAGCTCGTGACATTGTGCTAAACTACAACAGTGTTGAATCGATTATCTATTTGATTCAGAACACAAACACACAGCTCTCGTTCCTGCGGAACATCGTCTGGTTGATGTCAAACTTATGTCGCAACAAGAACCCACCTCCTCCTTTCGACAGAGTGGAACCGATGATTCCGATTTTGTCCAAGCTGCTTGACCATGAAGATTCGCAAGTTCTTGCTGACGCTTGCTGGGCACTTTCCTACGTAACGGATGATGATTCGATAAAAATTGAATCCGTAGTTGCCTCCGGTGCCGTTCCTCGACTAGTACGCCTATTGGGATGTGAAAATCCGGCTATAATTACTCCAGCATTACGAAGCGTTGGCAACATCGTTACTGGAAGCGACGTTCAAACGGACGCTGTCCTGGCAGCCGGTTGCTTGCCATATCTTGGAAAACTCCTCCGTAACAGCAAAAACAGTATCGTCAAGGAGGCAGCTTGGACCATTTCAAATATCACGGCCGGAAATCAACAACAAATTGCACAGGTGTTCGACTCTGGCATCTTCAACCTTTTGATCGAGGTGCTAATTAAGGGCGATTTCAAGTCCCAGAAGGAAGCCGCGTGGGCAATCACAAACACGACCACCGGCGGCTCAACGGAACAGATTATCCATTTGGTTGAGAAGTACCCTGTGATGAAGCCGTATTCTGATCTGCTGGAGGCTAAGGATAGCCGCACGGTACGGGTTGTGCTAAGTGGAATTTCAAACATTTTCCAATTTGCGGAGAAGATTGGAGGAACGGAGAACCTGTGCACTCTTTTCGAAGAGATCGGAGCCCTCGACAAACTGGAAGCTCTGCAGAACCACGAGAATGAAGACGTGTACAAGAAGGCATTCCAACTGATAGAATCCTATTTTACTGATGCGGTACGTCAATCGCATAATCAATCACGTTCCCAAAATCCCTGAAAATAACAGCTTTCTTATTCCTTCTATCCACAGGAGGACATTAATCCGGAGTGCGCACCGAAGGAGAAAGACGGCGCCCTGGAGTTCAATCCCGGACCGCAGCAAAATGGTGATCAGTTTTCGTTTTAGAGATTATTGCATCATTCCAACCCCATCATCCCCGGTGCCGCCATTGCGAAGCAAAAGTGAGATTAAGACTGGAAATTTACACTCCTGTTCTATATAGGTACATTCACAAACTGTTCCTTGCATCCCCCGTCATAATTTTGGCCAATCCCAACCCATCGACTGTAAGTACCGCGTTGTACATTAACTGTCTGTCTGTCTGTCTACACTGCCTTCTCGGAATCATCGATGCTTTCCGCAACGTAGCACCTATTGTGCGCGTGTTTTTATATCGTTAGTGGTAATTAAATCTTTAGAATAATTAATTAGCAAGACTGGCTGTTTTTGATTTTTGATGACATATTTCTATCTGCTTAATGCTTCACTTCCCAACAACTGTCAATTCCCAGGTTAATCATTTCAGGATTTTCATGGACAAAATTTAATCACGTTTACAGCTACAACTACTAAGTGTGGAAGAACGCTTAGCGTTCATCCATAAATAATGTAGCATATGTTTGACCAATTAGAGACCCCATCCCCCTCGTAGCGTATTTTTTCTATACCTATAACATGGCAACTTCTGAAACCCCTAAAAATGCAACGACATTTATGCATGTCCCTTAATCCCTCCCCTTGGCTATTTTTTGCACCTTGCTGTTGGTGGGCGGGCTTAATTTCATGCTAGTGGAGTGTTGGAGACGGTGGGTTTATGGTCGGCGTTGCTGGCTCATGCCGCGATAGAATGGCGTCATGGGCAGGCAATGGAGATTACTGAGCTTCCCCTCTCTGCTAAACCACTGCATGAGAGAACCAAAGATCTAGTCCAGCAGTGATAGTCCCCCTTATTCTGCGAGTCACGTGACTCTCTGTCACCGGTGAGGTGACAATTGTCACCTCGTGTGAGGTGACTATCCATGTAAATCAAATGGAGAGTCACCTCACACGAGGTGACTATTGTCACCTCACCGGTGACAGAGAGTCACGTGACTCGCAGAATAGGGGGGAGTATCACACTTGTTACTCCTTTAATTGAGAGCCGCGTCGTAGTACGCTTACGTATAGGCACTGACGTTGGGTGTGATACTGGCGGGTTTTGCCACAAATCACTCTTATTTTATTTATTTTTACGCAGATAGATTCATTTGGGTTTGCAAGGAAATTATACTATTGAAATATTTCAGAAAGTGCCCAACAGTGCTCCTTCTATTTGCGTGACAAGCATTCATTGTTGTTTTCATTGAATTATTACTCAGGAAACAATGTTAAACATAATTTTTGTACATGGTATTGTAACTAATCTTATATGTGCTTCATTTTGATTTGGGATAAGTGTTTGAACTATCAGGGCTATTCTGCGCGGCGTGTGAGGTGAGGTGACAGTGAACTGATGGTGAAGTGACAATTGTCACCTCGGGTGAGGTGACTCTCCATTTGATTTGTACGGAGAGTCACCACACCCGAGGTGACAATTGTCACTTCACAAGTGAGAGCGTGTCACCTCACCTCACACGCCGCGCAGAATAGGCCTGTATGGCTCGGGATTTCCACTGTGGTGTGCTTCTATTGTGACATACCCCCTTATTCTGCGAGTCACGTGACTCTCTCTCACCGGTGAGGTGACAATTGTCACATCGTGTGAGGTGACTCTCCATGCAAATCAAATGGAGAGTCACCTCACCGGTGACAGAGAGTCACGTGACTCGCAGAATAAGGGGGAGTTACTTCTGCAAAATAGTCGTTGTATAACCGTTGAGCTCCTTCCTCCTTACTTACTTACTTAACGATCATGCGCACCTCCAGGGGTGCAAAGGGCCTTTGTGAAAGATTTCCATCCTGGGCGATTACTAGCTTTGGCCTTGACCTGTGCCCAAGTCAAATTTCGGTCAACGTTCTTAATTTCACTGTTTAGGCTCCGCCGGCACGAGCCTCTGGGTCTACCTCTATTGCGATGTCCTGCTGGATTCCAGTCCAGTGCTTGCTTGCAGATTTCGTTTCCGCTCCGTCGTAGTATGTGGCCGACCCACCTCCACTTCCTTTCACGAATTTCTATCTCAATCGGGGCTTTTGATGGCACACACGATGAAGCTCGGAATTAGACTTCCAATTGTGGGGCCACCAGGCACGAATTATACCGCAGGCATCGGTTGATAAACACCTGTGTTCTCCGCTGATACACACAATGTTTCACTGGCGTATAACAGCACAGACTTCACGTTCGAGTTAAAAATTCGGATTTTGGTGCGTCGACTGATCTGATTCGCTCTCCATACATTTAGCAAACTGGCAAAAGCAACCCTCGCCTTCTTAATCCGTGCACCTATGTCGCTCTTGGTGCCGCCATCCGACGCTATCTGGCTGCCAAGATATTGAAAGCTTTCGACTTTCTCCACTGCCTGCCCAGCTACCGTGAAATTGGAACGGTTTTCCGTGTTAACATCCAACGATTTGGTCTTGTTGACGTTGATGGTTAGACCTGCTGGGTTCCACAAGGTCGTCGAGCTTACTCTGCATGTCAGAACGCCGTTGTGCTAATAACGCAACATCATCAGCCAAATCGAAGTCGTTGAGATGCTCCATAGTAATAGGCTGCCACAGCAACCCACGGTTCGGTACACGGTTAACGGCTCCAACCATGATCTCGTCGATTACGATGAGGAACAGTAGCGGTGCCTCACACCCGCGATTACCCGAATCGGGTCAGACAAAGCTCCGTTGTGCAACACTCAGCATGAGAAAGCCTCGTACTGCGCTTCGATGAGGTTGACGATTTTATCAGGGACTCCCTTGCGTCTCAGAGCGCCCCACAAGTTTTCATGGTTTAGTCGGTCGAAAGCTTTTTCGTACAGGGACTCTTGGAACTCATTGACCTGCTACAAGATGATGCGGAGCGTGACAATATGGTCCACACAGGATCTTCCAGCACGGAATCCTGCCTGCTGTCGTCGGAGAGTCGAATCGATCTTCTCCTGTATCCGATTGAGGATAACTTTACACAGAACTTTGAGAACAATACACAATAATATGATGCCTCGCCAGTTGTCGCATACAGTTGGATTCCCCTTCTTGGGGACTTTTACTAAGACGCCCTGCATCCAGTCGGCCGGAAAAGTCAGGCCTATTCTGCGCGGCGTGTGAGGTGAGGTGACACGCTCTCACTTGTGAAGTGACAATTGTCATCTCGAGTGAGGTGACTCTCCATTTGATTTGCACGGAGAGTCACCTCACCCGAGGTGACAATTGTCACTTCACAAGTGAGAGCGTGTCACCTCACCTCACACGCCGCGCAGAATAGCCCTGAGTCGCAGTGTCCCAGATATTGACGAACAGTTGATGCAACATTTGTGAGGATAGCATGGGATCAGATTTGAGCATCTCTGCTGATATGCGATCTACCCCCCCGGGGCTTTGTTGGACTTCATATTTCGGATGGCTGCTTCTATCTCCTGCAATGATGGAGCTTCAGTGTTGACGCGATTAACGCGCCTCACCCTTGGCGGATCATGCCGAGATGTTGATGGTTGGTTGACCGTTGAAACTTCGAGAAGTTTTACATAGTTGAAGATGCTAATTTCAAATAACAGACTAAAGTGGAATTTTTTATACGATATATAGAGGAGATGAAAGCATAGAGTTGATAGTTCCGTTAGAGTACGGCAGTGTGTCCTAGCTCGCTATCTACTATGCAATTTTCACACTGCCGTACTCTAACGGAACTACCAACTCTATGCTTTCATCTCCTCTATCTATCGTATAAAAATTACCACTTTAGTCTGTTATTTGAAATTAGCATATTCAACTATGTAAATCGTTGACTTCACGCAGAAGTAATACTAAACATATAGTCAAAGTTCGAGAAGTTGTTCAAAGTGCTCAAACCAACGTTTCAACTGGTCAGTGGGCTCGGTGAGCAACTGTCCAGTCGCGTCTTTCACAGGCATCCTTGGGTTCATCCTTGCCCCGCTCATGCGTCGTGAAACATCATAGAGGAGGCGGATGTCACCAGTTGCTGCGGCTTTCTCCCCTTCATCAGCCAGGGAGTCCACCCACGCTCGCTTGTCCCGTATTGTATACAGGAACGCTTAACTTCCCTCTCTAGAGCCGAATACCGCGGGGAAGAACGAACCCCCGATCACCATGTCGTTGTTGCCACAAAACTCTGCAAGCAGCTCTCCGTTCTCGCTCATATCTCCGAGACCATGGCGTCCTATAATGCGCTCATAGTCCGAGTTGTCGGAGCCGATCTTCGCATTGAAGTCGCCTTAGTAGATCTTGATATCACCTCTTGGAGTCTTATCCACGACAGCATTCAGTTAACTGTAAAAGTTCTCCTTGTCCTGCAATTCGGCAGCATCGGTTGGCGCATAACATTGGATTATGGTAAGATTCCGGACCCGTGTTGTTGAGACGAATAAAACGGCCGACTGAGATTCGAGAGCGTGTATTTTCAAGCGCTTCAAAACTGTAATTGGAACAGAAATTAGTAGAATGAACCCTCCAACAATTCAGTTTGCCTTTCAATATTCCAACAATTCCTGAATGCCAGCTTCCGGCCCTAATCCAACAACGAGTCCAACAGATACCTGTTTCCCCTAAATAAATCACAATCATAATTCGATCTTTCCGTTTGCCAATCAATAGCTACCTTCGATTTAATCCTCCTTCCAACTAATCACTACTAAATTACTTCTGCAACGTGCCTTCTATTCAACGGTCACTAGCGGTTTACTTTAATAATTATTTAACTAGTATAATGCAACTTAACAAAGACAGAATTCAATTCTCTACAGTATAATAGAAAGTATGTTGGCTGCCGAAACCCAAGCGCTGTATTGTCCGTTTGACGTTAATGCTGATGTCCCGGAGCAATGGGCACTCCTGTCACTCACGACTCCGTAACGGTTGGCAGTGCGGCCAACTCTACAGCGGCTGCGACACGTGAATCTGGCAACGATTATTCTCTCATTGATAGGTTCCCACCAGAATATAAAAGTACCTGTCCCAAATGCAGCTTATGTTCTCCAAAGTTCGGCCAACGGACTTCAGTAACCCCCTAATTCTGCGAGTCACGTGACTCTCTGTCACCGGTGAGGTGACAATTGTCACCTCGTGTGAGGTGACTCTCCGTGTAAATCAAATGGAGAGTCACCTCACACGAGGTGACTATTGTCACCTCACCGGTGAGAGAGAGTCACGTGACTCGCAGAATAAGGGGGATACCCATATGTATTTTTGTGGTGCCACATAGTGGAAACGTGAGAGCGTAATTGGAACATTTACCCTAT